TTATTGCCCACCTGAGTATCAGGAAGGGTTTGAGATGGCTTATCTAGCCAGGCATGACTGCTGCTATAAAAGAAAAAAAGTGAAATCATCATCAAATGCTGGAAATCATCAGGGAAAGAACCTCAGAAACACCTCACTGTTCAAGGCTACTGCAAGCCTATCAAAAACAAATGGACATGACTCAAGTCCCTTACTTCCCCATTGCAAAAATCTCAGCTGTTGCTCAAACAAACCAAGCCAGAATGTCGTACTTTGTCGTAAACGGCTGTTTGAGTGAAGCTGATGAAAGATAATGACCTGCAATTCACAACCAGCTCATTTGGGAAATCTATAATGGATTACACACTACAGCTAGTTCTAAACATGAACAGTGTAGAAAAGAAACTAAAAAAAAAAAAGAAAGAGACAAAAAGTAAAGTCCTAATGAAGTTATTGTCCTGGTGGGCATCTTTAGGCCAGCAAAGCAAAGCCACAAAAGAAGTACGTCTCTGTTTCCAAGTAAATCTAGATAATTCCTGAGAAGCCTAATGAATTGCTGCAATGATTACACACCCATCTCACTTCTAGTAATGAAATATCCTAGGGATATACAGGTGGTGGGCAGTAGCATGTAGGAATATCTAATACAGAAGAAATTCTGTGGATAAAGAGAAGCCCTATGATCAGACACTATTTGTAGTCTCCTGTCATAGATTTCCCTAAGGACAGGAAAAAGAACATTTTTATCTATTAAGGGGCGGGGGCGGGGGGGGGAGGGTGTGCTGGGTTACTTTAGTATCCTCTACTTGCCCTAAACCTTTATTTCATTATTGCTATTTTATGTACTGGCTTCATCAGTTTACAGTGGTAACACTTACTTATTGAGAAGTGTACATGTTTAATAATAAGAAAACATGAAACTGTGGTTGGAGGGGTTGCTGCCTAATAATTTTTCTCCTATATCAAGTTTTGATTAAAGCCCAATCTCTTCTGATACAAAATATAAGGCAGGGATATATAAAAGTATTTGTAACACATTTGTTTTATACACATTCATATATATATGAGTGTACTTGTTTGCTTTGTTCTAAGATATGAGACATTTTCATTGTGAAAGATCAGTGGTTGGTATTTCAGTCTGTTTGAAAACCTGCAGAGCAAATTCTGCTCTGAGGGATGTGTATCAGTCCACAACTCTGTTGTGAGGGGAAAAGGAGGGGCAGGCACTAATCTCTTCTCTGTGGTGACCAGTGACAGGACCTGAGGGAATGGCCTGAAGTTGTGTCAGGAGAGGTTTAGGTTGGATATTAGAAAAAGGTTCTTCACACAGGGTGGTTGGGCACTGGAACAGGCTCTCCAGGGAAGCAGTCACAGCACCAAGCCTGACAGAGTTCAAGAAGCATTTGGATGATGCTCTCAGGCACATGGTGTGACTCTTGGGGATGGTCCTGTGCAGGGCCAGGAGTTGGACTCGATGATCCTTGTGGGTCCCTTCCTACTCAGAATATTCTGTGATTCTGTGATCCTAGTCTAATGGCTTTATTTTATTTACTTGTGCATATTAATATATTCAGTGATGCCTGTGCCACATAAAGTACTTGGGATACTTTCTTGGCATGTGGCATGAATCTTTTGCCTAAGCACAGCTGTGGGCTTTGATGTACTCAAGGGAGGACTTCTCCCACCAAGTTTAAAGTTCAGCAGTTCAAAGGCACTTCTCATTAGATATTAACCAAAATGCTTTACAAACGAGAAGGGAATGACCTACTCTGTGCCTGAAGAATTTGGCAGGGGCCATTCTCACAAGCCAACAGACCACCACCACCATGCTGAGAAATGTCTCGCAGAAGAGAGGCTGGGTTTCAGGGGCAGAACAAACAGCAGAGTGACCTCTTACAATTCTGTTTTGGAAAATACAACCCCTTGGCTTCTCCAAGCCTTGTCTGGAGAGCAAATCTGCAACACAAGCTGTTATGGGCATTATTTACAGCTCCAGTATTGCTCCAGCCACATGGTAGATATTTAGCTGAATATCCATATGGATGCCCACCCTTGGGGCATCATATCAGTCCCAGGGAGTTCGTTCAAGCAAATCTTTAACCTTCCTGTCTTTTCTGGTGTGGCATAGAAACCCCTAAGCTGACAGATGGAGGCAGCAGGTTAATCACTGAAACGCATCTGGGCAAAGAGTCTGTCAGCTGCCAGGCATGCATCCAAGGATGCCGCTGCTCCCCGCCAAAAGCCAAGAAACACAACCGCACCTGTGAGGTTCACAGAGCAACTGCGCTGTTTCTGCTTGCATGAGACACTTGCTGCGGGAGTCACTGCTGGAGACATGAGAGGGGCAGAGGGATGAGGGCTCAAGACCTGAGGATGCCTGTCTGCTGAACCACTCATGCTGTGACTCACTGGGATAAGAGCAGGCAGCCAATGTGTAGAGTTAGATGGGGAACCTAGAAGAGCCAGGATGATAATGGGCTGGTGGAGTGGGCAAGCAAAGGCTGCTCAGTTAGTGCTATTAGGTATGAGGTTTGCTGGAAAAATACAAAAATTAACTTTTGGTGAACACAAAAGGAGGATTACACTTTTGCTTTGTTTTAACTGTGGCTTTTCATTTCTATAATTTAAACTCAAAACCCACCATGTCTTTCATTTCTCTGGTCACCCTGTGTAGGGCTGGAGAGTAACACCTGCCTGAGGTTGGAAACCTTCAGCCAGTGTCCCTCCAGAAGCAGTGGCTTGAAACAGAGAGAGGCTGCAGACAGGAAAGAGCGACTTGTGCCTCGGGTCATGCTTAAGCAAACCTCAGCCTGTGGAGGTGTCTGACACTGGGGTTGTGCTGCCAGAGCTGGAGAAGAGTTGTGGCAGACGTGGGTAAAACCTCCTGCAAAGTACAGACAGCCAAAGGGCTTGGAGCAACCTCCAGGGCATACACCTGCTCAACGAGGATCCCAGATTGAACTTAGATCCTGTTTGGGATGGGAGAAAAATTGAAACTTGTTGAGGCATGTGATCCCAAAATCAATATTTTCACAGCTCAGGGCATGTGACGTGTCCCTGGAAGGTGCCTGGTGAGGACAATGGCTGGCACAGGATTGCAGATCCACATGGCTCTAGTGCGCTCCACCACTGACCAGCCCACACACACAGGCACCAGTAAGCTAATGCCTATGCCTAGAGCCAATGGTTCTAGGTTTCCTTTACAGGCAGGAAAATTCATCCCATAAATGGGACTGGAGAGGGTAGGGTGAGATTTATGAATGGCAATTGAATTTCCTACTTTATTATGTTTTGCATTTAATACTAAAGCACAGAAGTTCACATTAACAGTATATCCAGAGATAACACAAACACTTCCTCCAGCTAAATTTTAACATTTGTGTCAGGTTTTTTACTGGATGTAGCAAACCCGTTGCTCTTGCATGCCATGTCCTAAACCCCTCCTACCAAATCAGGTTTTTCCCGTATGTATGTAGAAAAGTTAACACTTCCCAGAATACCACATGAATAAAATGCTCTGGGCCATCTTTCCAAATAAACCCTTAATCCTCAGATATCACTGAAAGTAATTTTAGTCAATAGTGCACCATCCTGTAGAAAAACAAAGAGCAGCCACTAAAAAAACCCAAACACACTGGTGTCTCCAATCTCCCTGTTTGGCATCTGCTGGCATTTTTATTTTGCTGGTATCTATCAAGCAATGTACAATCAAAATCCACCACTTTGTCACTTGGAGACTTCTGAAATACATGTATTTGCTGTTGGAAGGTTTTCTGATTCCTGTCTGCATAAAATAACTACACCAGAAACTGGGAAAGAAAAGGAAACTCAATTTTCCCAGAGGTAGCACCAAGTAAAGAGATGTCTGCATTATCCCATTTTTCTCCCACTATACAGTTTTCTTTGGGAAAAAAAAATACAAAGCAGTGCAGTGCAATATTTAAATCCACATAAAGCCTTACCACCAAAATCAGAAATATTGACCATGAGCATGAGGCACCATCCACTGCTGCAAATGTTCCTTACAAACCAGACTTTGGTCAAAATTGTTTTTCTCCTTTTCTACAAGTTGAAATGCATTTCTGATGTGAAAAAGGAGACTTTACATACTTTTAATGCTAAGTTCTCAAAAGTGATTCTGCGCTTCTTCATGTGGCTTGCAGCTCAATTGAATTAAAAAGCTAAAATGAACATCTAAACGAGCCCCTGAAATAAAGAGTCAGCTGAGAAAAGACACTTGAATGACGAGAAAAACAGAAAAAAACACAGTGCATACCTGGATCTCTATTATCAGTGGAAAAGGCTTTATTTCTTTGCAAGGGCAATGGCAAGGTAGAGCTACTGCAATGCAACGAAAGAAAAATACTTTCCGTATGGGACCATGAAGGCATTAACATAACAGGCAAAGCACATTATGTCCTGCCCTTGGCAAATGTGTGGTTGGCTACTCTGGACTGTGACCCAGCAAAAATAAGCAGTCCAAATGAATTTTCTCCTAGGTAATATACTGTTTCATTTACTGCACACAGTAGACACTTTTTTCTCAAGATTCAGTGTAGAGGCACAACATTGCACTGAAGGAAAAGAAAAAACCTGTGCTGCACACAAACTGCACACAAAAATGAGCTGAAGTGCTGATCGCTACACTAAAATAAACTTCCAAGTACATTTGATCCGTTTGATTCATGACTAGGCAGTGCCCTCAGTGGATGGGAAGACAAGGAGAACTCGATCATGTCCCTGCGCGCAAAACGTGCTGGTATTGACATCCGTGTATTAAGGTGTTCTTTTTCTTCTCAGGTCTCCTTACTTTTCATTTGTGATTCCTTAATCTCTGCAAGTTTAAATTTGATTTTATCCAAGAGCCTCTACACCTGGAGGCAACCCCCTTTTTGCGGGAGGGTTTTACCCACTTCTGTCAAACCAGTCTGGCTATCACTTCTCTTTCAAATACACACACCACTTCAGAGACCAAATCAAATCAGTAGGATCAAAAGAAGCAGTATTGATGACAGATCAAATGCACATTAACCGCAACCTGTTTATTGATTTTTGAATTTGTCACGTTATTTCCTTATTCCCTTTGTTTCTCAATTGGTTGAGCATGTTGATCTAAGTCAGCTTTTAACTCCGCTTTGTCACCATGACCTTTTTTGATCCCAGTTCATTTGCTCTGAAATTAAGTCACACTACAGAAGCTGCTTTGCTCCAGGTTGTGGTTTTCATGCTCTCAGTTAAATTAAATCTTTCTATGCCACTAGCTGGGACAACTGATGCCTGATAAACAGTGGGGCCTGGGACAGTAAACCACAACACCCTCTTCATGGCACAACCCTTCCCTGAGTGAAGAAGCTGCAGTGGGAACTGGGAAGGGGAACCAGAGTGGGGCATATGGAAGAGCTTCCTTGCAGACAGAGATACTGGTGGTAAGGTAGAAGCAGATGCTCACCTTCACCTGTCTTCCCCTCCTCCAGATTGGACACTGGGACAAATCTGTGTTGAGGGCTAGGCTGCACCTAAGCAGGGCTAGGTAGAAAGAGCATGGCAAATTATCACCCTTCATTCATGCTCTTCTGCACCTTATTTTTGCCTCCTCCAGGACCTTTTCCAGTAATCTCACATCTCCTCAACTGCTATCTCTGGTTGCTGCCACCCCCTATTACCTTGAAGCACACACGTAGCAGCTTTGCTTCTGCATCCACTTGGGAAATGAGTCCCTCTTTTCCAGAAGGTTGTCTCTTCTTCTCATCTCTCCTCTGCTGTCTTGGGAAGGGTATTGCAATGGCAGAGCTAAAGGTCTCTGTGTCGTGTTCCCCACTTTGGGGTTTCTTTAGCATATCCAGAGGCACCCTAAAAAAAATAAAAAAAGGATGGCCATGGAAAAATTTCCCTATGTGTAATTAGCTTAAAAAGTAGTTAAATGTACTGCTGTTACGAACTGAAATGCACATATCTGTAAAAAGAAGATTTCAGCATGTGGGCTAAATAACAGGGTAGAAGGGACCACATGGAATCATGTTCTGAGCATAACATATAATCTGTAATCATTAGTGCACCGGGGGTGCCACTTAGAGCTATAATAAGCCAAATGCATCCAAGTGCTACTCTTTTTGCTCCAGTGAGGCAACAGAATCACAGGGTAATAGAATAAGTCGGGTTAAGAGGGACCTCCAGGGGTCATCTAGTCCAAAACACATCTAATCAGATGGGCTTGTTCAGGGCCGTGCCCACTGAGCACATCCAAGGAGGGAGATCCCACAGCCTCTCAGGGCTGCCTGCTCCAGTGCTTGACCATCCTTCCAGTACAGAATTCTATTCTAAGATTTAGTGGGAATTTCTCACCTTCCAACTTGTGCCCCTTGCCCTTGCTGTTTCCCCCCCAAAGGGCTGGCTCCCACTTCTGTGATTCCTCCATCTGGGAGCTATTCTGGTGCCCGTAAAAGACAACAGACTCCTCATGCCCAGAACTACCAGGTGCTCAGGAAACAGCAGAGACCAGCTGTGGCACACGAGGACAAAGGACAAGCTCAGTGGGAAAGAGTTCCCACTTCAGGAACACCAAGATCTGAACACTTTCCTGCCGTTCAGACACTGGTCAGGACTCAACTTCTTTCTCTTTATGGTTCACTGACAAGGATTGCTTCTGAACAGTAGCTGCTTTAGAAAGACATTTGCTTATCTGCCTCCCACCGCAATTAAATCCTTTTAAATTTCTTTAGGTGCAGTATACTTTTATTATGCAAACACTTTCTAAATTGCACTACATATGGCCACAAGTTCTTAAAAAAATCTGTCTAGAGGTTTCCTTCCTTTCCACTGTGTTTAGCAAAACTTAATTTGATGTGGAGGCCACTTCTGAAGGACGAGAGCTGCACCTGGGCTGTTGGCCAGGTGGAATGCACCTCCAGTAAAGTAGGAGATGCACTTCTTCACATTTCCTGCTGAGTTTGTTAAACAGGTTATATCTATTCTTAAAAGCATTGTATTACAAACTTTCAGGGAACAACACAGGCTTTTCTCAACAGAATTAAGGTGAGCTGAAAAAAAAAAAAAAGAAAGAAACAATGCATTAATCTCAGTGTCAAGAAACAAAGTCTGTAATGTGTGAGGGCGCTGAACAGAAGGGGAGAGGGGAAAGTTTATTGGCTCTTGGAATGCAATTTTTCACTCCTTTAAAATGCTCTAGATTGTCAGTTCCTATTAATTTTTTACTTCTTGTTATGTAATATATGAACCGCATAGCTTAAAATCATTCTTGTCCTGGCAGTTTACAAAAGACATGCAGTAATTTAATTTAATTCCACTTCTCACTGCTTAAGAAAAACAAAAGTGGCAACCCCAGCAAGGACTGGTGATTATTAACTGATGTTCCCTCTCTGATGGACTTTTTTTTTTTTAGGTGACATAGAAACATTCCTTTGTTTACTCTCCTTTGGGGAAGAGGCTCTAGTTGCTCAATTTTTAGGCAACGCTTTTTTTCTGCACAATGCAGAACAAGGTTCAAGTTCCTCATTTACAGTTGTGTTAATCTCCCCTAATGTACACACTAATTTGAGGTGTATTCCCCAGATCTATGGCTGACAGCAGACCTGACCTTCCCCAGGTGATGACACTCTTACAAGCCTATGTTCCCCACGTCTGCCTTATCTTTTCAATATTCAGATTCTCAGGGAAACCCTAGCAAACAAGGAAGTTGTCCTTCAGCCACAGAAAAATAAAGTTGGGTTTTTTTCCCTTTGCACAAGTGCTTTAGGCACCCTGGAAATCACAACAGGGCAGAGCCGGGAAAGAGTCTGAAGTTGCCCAACCTATGCATAGTAACAAGAAGAATTACTCTGGGACAAAGGCATAACGACCCTAGCCTGCTTATCCTGGCTGCAGAACAAATGCTGTTGTCATCCGGTGTTTAACTTATGAGGCAATAAAAGATTTTGATCCTGCAAAAACTAAAATAATATCCTGTATTTCAGGTTGTGAGCAAAACCCCTTCTGAAACGCTCTTCTGTACATGACAATACAATAATTTTTGGATATTATAAACAGTCAACTATTAATATTCCATTCTGATTTGTAAAATGTGTGTAGGTAAAAAATCTGGTGAGTCTGGGGAGGTCCCTGCTGACTAGAGGCTCCCAGTGTTACTCCAATCTACAAGAAGGCTGTGAGGGAAGACCCAGGGAACTACAGACCTGTTAGTCTAACTTAAGTTCCTGGAAAAGTTACAGAGAAGATCACACTGGGTATTGTTGAAAGGCATTTAAAGAACAATGCAATCATCAGGCACAGTTAACACGGGCTCACAAAAGGAAGTTCCTGCTTAACTCATTTCATATCCTTCTGTGATAAGGCCACACACCTAGTGGATGAAGGGAAGGTGGTGGGTGCAGTTTTTCTGTATTTCAGTCAGTTTTTCATACTGTCCATCACAGCACCCTTCTGCACAGCTCTTCCAGCTGTGGGATGAATGGGTTGATGATGTGCTGGGTGAAGAACTGGCTGAGGGGCAGAGCTCAAAGGCTTGTAGTGAGTGGGGCTACTTCTGGCTGGTGATCGGTCACCAGCAGTGCTCCTTGAGGCTCAGTCCTGGGGGCCAGACCTGTTCAACGCATTTATCAACGAAGCTCAATGCTTCAATTTATCAGATTACTCTGCAAGACCTTTTGTCCCTCAAGAATGTCAACAGCAACTCCCATTTTGGTATCATCAGCAAACTTGCTAATGGTATGTTCAAGTCCTGCATCCAGGTTGTTGATAAATACGTTTAGCAGTTTCTTTTGGAGGGGTAGTGTAGAGGGATATGCTGATCTCTTCTCCCTGGGATTCAGCAGTAGGATGTGTGGGAATGGTTCAAAGCTGCACCAGACAAGGTTTAGACTGGACATTAAGAAACACTTCTTTACTGAGAGAGTGGTCAAACCCTGGAACTAGCTTCCAAGAGAGGTGATTGATGTCCCAAGCTTGTCAGTGTTTAAGAGGCGTTCGGATATACCCTTAATAACGTGCTTTAACTTTTAGTCAGCTCTGAAGCACTCAGGCAGTTGGACTGGATGATCAACATAGGTCCCTTCCAACTAAAATAGTCTATTCTAAACACTTACTAATATTTCCTCCCAAAATGCCAGTTTTATGCCCATGAGTCAATGAAATTTATCACAAAAAATGAACCACAAGGGTTGGTTTTCTTACAAAAAGACATGAGCACCTTTCTCACCCAGTCTGAGAATAAAGCCCACATTCAGTCAAATGACCCAGCACAAACCTGTGCTATTGCAATGACCTGATCCGCTTGTGTACAGAAAAGAACAGAAATGAGTCTCACAGTGGTCTAAGGAACTTAAAAAAAAAAAATAATAAAAAAAATCCCAAGTCATACCTTGTCCCAAAACACAGGAACAATAAAAAAAAAACCAAAATCACAAACCAACCAAACAAAAACCCCAACAAAACAAAACAAACCCAAAGCAAAGTCCAAGTTTTTAATTCTACTGCATTAGATATAAAGAGTAAGCAAATCCAAAGCCAGAGCTAAGATGGCAAGAGACAGAGGTTGAAGGGAGATACAGGTATGTCTTCATAGGTATGTTAAGTTCCTACCACAACAGGGAGAAAAGAGACCATTGTTTCCTGGAAAACTGTCAGTAAACATACAAGTTAGGCTCACAACAGAGGGACTTGCAGTTGTATAAGAGAAAGAAGCCGAACACATGATAAGGTGAGAAACACAGCCTCCCAGATGAATATTTTGCAATGTCTAACCCCTGCAGATACCAGCCAGCATGAAGAAAATGCCACCAGGAAGAGTATCTCTTGCAACTTCCCTACTTTTCAAGCTGGGGCAAACACTCAGCCCTGCACTATGTCATTTTGGGTTTACATCACCACAAATACGATCAGAAGCTTTGATTTTATCTTGATTTTATCTTGCTATGATTTTAGATGAGAAAGATGGTAGCAACTGGACTAGTAACATAAGACACCCTCAAAAGCAACACTGTCAGAAGTAAAAAGGAGGAGCCTTTCCCTGAAGCAAGTCTGATTCTCATGTACACTGAGGCCACTTTACAACATTCTGGATAAAACAGGGTTTACAAGGGAATGAAAATATAAATTAGCCCTGTTTGAAAGGTCCTTGCTGACAGGCAGAGACTGAGTCTGAGCTGGAATTAATTTCATCTGTCCTAAGCCATCTGCCCAGGCTCCCCTTGAAGTCCCTGACAGCACATGGGTGGCCATCAGAGACACATGGATCCACACTGCACGTCGCAGCTGAAATCCAGCTCTGCTGAAAGCAGCATAGTCTGGGACAGCAGAACTGGTTGTTGGACATCTCAGCCAGAGTCTACAGCAGCTTCAGCAGGGCTACCCACCTTTAGCAGGGTTACTCACCAGCCTACTGCTTCCATAGCCCCTCTGGGAAGGGATACCTATGCTTGCAAGGAAGCTCCTCTTCCTCCTCCTCTTCCTCCCCGGGGCTCAGACTCAGGCCTAGAAGTATCCTGGCTGTGTTCCTATCCTTCAATGCTGACTCCAGCCTTCTGGTTGTGGTGTGGCAGCACACCAAAACTTCTGATGGGCCTTGACCAAAATTTGCCCAGACACTACTCCCTGTATTCACCAACCAAAGCTGTGTTATCAATAAAAGAACAGGTGAGCTCCCCATGTCAAGAAAGCATGACGACCCAGGCTTGGACTCAAGACTCCTACTGCAGACTCAATTAGATCCCAGCTGATAGCTTGGATTGGCCTAGTTTACCACTACCAACAAAATTCCAGTCTGCAAGATTTCAAACTGCCATGATGGAGGAAAATATTCAAAACCCTTTTTCTTTTCCTTTTTGCTGACATGCTCTATGATAAGTAGATCATAACATCATAGAGATGGATCTATGGTCATGTCCCTGTTCATTGAACTCAGCAGCACTTCCCTGTGTCCCGAAGTGAGCTCTGGCTACTTCTGACACCATAAAGAAGGGTGGCTCACCTTATGACCCTTTCTTTTCCCTCCTGAGGAGAGAAGGCATCTTGGCACAGAGGTTGAACGGAGCTGTAGCATATTCCATGGCCAATGCTGCTGTGCAAACAAGGCTACTGCCTGCCTTCCCCTCTCCCTCTTCTCTGCCAATGCCTCTGTGCGTCACCTGCAAGTCAGAGGGTACCAAGGTGGCAGAGAGCAGGCAGAGCCACTACGTCAGTAAATGCGTCTGTGGACCCCCTTTTATCCTGCTGGGGCATGGACAGATCAGCAAACACCCTGTCCCCATTGAGCTCTGACACACACCGAAGGGTACACCTAACTCTGGGTGTGTTTTTTTCCTTTTTTTTTTTTTTTAATATATTTCTGTAAGCGATTACATCCGGGTTTGTGTCCGCACGGCAGAACCAAAGAGCATTCATCAGAAGAATAATGATGCAAATGTGGCTTCTTATCCTCCAATGATTGCCCATCTGGCAAAAAGGTTCAGAAAATGTAACAATAGTTTTGAAATAAATAGGAGGAAAGTAAAGACCGGCAGTGTACTTTCCACATCAATAACAAATATACTACTGATGTGGAAAGTAAACAGCTTCAAACAGGAGGTGAAACCGCTGTGGATAACTCTACACCTGTGAGATGTAGGCTTGAATGCCTGGGCATTAAAACTGAGGAAGAAAATCCCAAGTTCATCACCTCAAATTACAAAAACAGGTATTAAACGTTGTATTGTCTGTAGCCAGGTAATAATACGGGGCCAGCCGAAATTTGGAGGATTAAAATACCTTGCTATGCGTTTCAAAAGCTTACCTCCTTGTACGGAGCTCTCTATACGGTCAGCACGCCTGTATTGTACAAGCATTCCTCAAAACCATTCCCCAGGCAGGGCTGTTTTTTTTTTTTTTTTTTTTTTTTTTTTTGGGGGGGGCAGGGGGGCGCCTGCATGCGGAAAAAGATGCAAGCCTGCAGCTACTGAGGAGACGCTAAGGCCGCACCTGTCCCATTGCTGCCACTCCATCCCGTCCCGTCCCGTCCCCTACACGCGCACCTGCAGGGGACGGGGAAACTACACCCAAATTAGAGGTCGCGTTGCTGTTTGTTTGCTTGTTTGTTTGTTTTCGGGTCTGATTTATATCGCCACCTCGGGGAGCTCCCCGCACGGGGCAGAGCTGCGGTCGCGGCCGGAGGGACCCCGGGGCGCTGCCGGGGCCCGGGCGGGGCGGGGGCGGCCCCGGGGGCGCCGGGAGCTCCTTGTGCTGATTGGGCTGCGCTGCCCGGGGCGGCCGCGGCCGCCGCCCCCGCCCCGCCGGGCTCCGCTGGGTGCGCTCCGCTCCGCTCCGCTCCGCCTGCCGCCGCCGCCGCCGGGACTCCGCCGCTGCCGCCGCCGCCGCCGCCGCGGCCCCGCGCCGCCCGCCCGCCTCGCCCGCCGCCTCCGCCGGGCCCATGGCGAGCACGTCGGCGGAGATCATCGCGTTCCTGCTGACCATCTCCGGCTGGGTGCTCGTCTCCTCCACGCTGCCCACCGACTACTGGAAGGTGTCCACCATCGATGGCACGGTCATCACCACCGCCACCTTTTGGGCCAACCTCTGGAAGACCTGCGTGACCGACTCCACCGGCGTTTCCAACTGCAAGGACTTCCCATCCATGCTGGCGCTGGACGGTCAGGCTCCCGCTGCCCTCCCCCCCCCCCCCCCCCCCCCCCCCCCCCCCCCCCCCCCCCCCCCCC